GTTTCGTTTGTTCCCATAGTTTCTTGTTTGTGATTCTTTCCGGCCATCTCATCTTCAGTATAGAGCGAAGACAGTTGTTGATAAAGGTCTGCAACAGGCTGTTGGAAATATTCTTTGTGACCCGCCAAGTTTCTGATCCGTATAGAAGAACTGACTGACTTGACGTTTGTATTGAAAATCCGAATTTTGTTGTTGATGCTGAGGAGTGACGAAGATTTCCAGATTGGTTTCAGGTTGATGAATGTGTTTCTCGCCTTCCCGATTCTCGATTTGACATCCTCGTCCGTTCCTCCTGTAGTTGAGACAATGCTCCCTAGATAAGTGAAGTGAATGAAGTAACCTCTTTCAAATCCCTTCCGTTGATGGTGATTGGCGCTGGATGTTGCTGCCACTGTTGTTGTTGTTGCTTGGTTATTTTCATGACCTCCGTCTTGTCTATGTTCACCTGGAGTCCTGTCTTTGCTGCCTCTTCGACCAGTTTGTCGGTTTTCGCTCGTAAGTCTTCGATTTTGTGTGATATCAAACATAAATCATCCACGCGCGAAATCCATGTCTTCAAGATTTTTCAAGTTGGTCAGGATATCCCTGTCTTCTCGTTTCCCACTGTCTGACGCATAATCCAGTCCACCACAATTAGGAATATCATTGGTGATAATAAGCACCCTTGTCTGACTCCTGTGTTTACTCCAAATGCATCGCTGAGTTTTCCGTTGTGGATCACTTGACATGTGCAGTGGTTGTCGTACAGCTGTTGAATGAGGTTGATGAATATTTGGGGTACGCCGTAGTACTCGAGTAGTTTCCAAATTACTTCGCGGTCAACGCTGTCGAAGGCCTTCTCAAAGTCTATAAAGAAGGCCTTGCCTAGATGTACGTAGCGAAATATGAATATGAATAAGTAATCTTACCATGAGTAGGGATAATGCGTCGATAGTTCAATGGTAGAATACTCACCAGCTATACACATGGTCCGAGGTTCAATTCCCAGTCGACTTACTCCTTAACCTCGTATAGTTCACTACCCAGATTGGGCGAGAGACTAGCTTTCTTACGCCGTAACCAACACAGCGGTTAGGGAAACGTCATGGCTTGAAGCTCAGAATGAGTTTGCATTGATCTGCTTCGTTCATGTTCAGCGTATGCGATAATTTTGTATGACAGTACCACGAATGAATCAGCATAATTCATTTTCCGAAACAACGAGGCCTACCTGTAGATCTATGGTTATTAAAACTGTTTACTGAGGAGTTTTTCGATGAGACGGGCTTTCATTTATAATAAAAAATAGTTAGTGGGTTATGTCTTGTCTTATCGTATACGTTAATCAGGAGAAAAATACTCTATTTGGATCGGTGACCAGTTGATGTTATCATCAGTCGTCGATAGCACGTTAAAATTTCATGTGGTTGACTACGATATTAGGGAGAGGAATTTGTACAAAGCAGTAGTAATATAATGTTTGATGATTCAGTGGGGCGAATAAATAACTGTGAGACTTACTATCTACAACCTCAATATTTAGATTTCTGAACCCTTGAAAAAATTAACCAATGCAACAGCATCTTTGTATACCTTTCAGATTGACTATGCTATCTCACCGACAAGTACCATGATTTAATTTTCCTCTTTTTGTATTAGTGTTAACCTAATCTTGGTTGAAACACCATTACATATCAGAACAGACAGTGAAAAAATCCGGTTAACTCATTTAGTAGCAGGAAATGTACTTCAGAAAAAATTCATGTCGTTATTGATTAGTTTGATTTCTAACCTGTTGGTTGCGAGGTTATTCTTACCAATTTTCAAGCGATGTTGTCCGATCAACTTCCTGATGAATATTGTAAAATCTTAGGAATCATATATATGCAATTTTTTCCTCCTTTTTCGTTCTGAGTGGAAAATAGACCTTCAGGCCTAGAGCATTGAAGTTTCAGTAGCCGTGATGCTGTTTTCACGCCCGGCCTTTCATCGACTGGGTGACATGCGGGATTGAGTCAACCAGGAGTCGATCCTTGGTCCAAGTGCATGGTTGACGAGCGGATTGGATTGCATTTCGGATTGTGAGGGCGATTGTTACTTCCCGGCTGCCCACACCGTGGAAGTTGGTTGCGTGACCGCAGAGCCCAGGGGACAACTGCTTGAGGCCGGTCACACGCGGCCTGTTTTTGTTTGTTTGTTTCAGTAGCATATTTATCACTTCTGCCCTGTGACACGGCAGCAATAAGCGCGGTCGTTGTTAATCCGGGCCCCGACCG